TAAACATAATTTCTTCGTTATCGTTTTGTTTTTGAAATACAAAGCTGTGAAATTGTTTGAAAGTATCATTGTAAATTCATTAAACCTTTATGTACTCAATTACGTTATTTTTAGTTTTTACTACCACTGTTATTCTAAATAGCTACTTTAATACAATTCAGGTTATGCATGAGTTAAGTATAAATATTTTTTACAACTATTACAACCGTAAGATATATAATGGTTAAATTACATTCTATAAAAAAATCTAAGCACATTAATTGAGTGGTAGAATTTCAATTAAACAGGTATTTAAATTAAAGGATATGTAGGATATGAAGTGCTAAGGAAACAGTGTGAATTTTTTAAGAGCAAGAGAAATGTGTTTAGGTTGAGGAAATAAATTCTATCACATCAGAAAGTATTCGATCATATTTCTTGAATCAGAATTCTATCATATCTCATTAGTTTCCTTTAAACTTTTGTTAGGTCATATATTTTCATCGGTCATATAAATCTTATATCGCAATGGATTCTACTCAAATAAGTACCTAGATCCTCAGATCTTCATGCACTTATAGCTTATAAGCATCTGAATGACTTCTTTTATAATTTAATCTACTGAAATTATTAATACGGAACTATTATGTGTACCTATAATTTTAGGTTATTCAGGTTTCCTTAAGTTGATTAAAAAATCGTAAATTCCCATAAAGATCTGCAATCTACTGACGCAAAAAATCGCTCTACTTCTAAACTATTGAAGAATCAAACAATATTTTTAGAAAACGAATCGATAACGAGCATACATTTACATGAACTTTCCTCATGTTTTAAATCTACGCGATGTTAAAGTTTCTTTTAAATTAAAACTTGGGCATCTAGAGTATTAAATAATACCGTAGCAGCCGCAATGAGCACTATTCTCAAAGCATTTGTAGAGACCGGAGCAAGTTGACGAGGAGGAATATTTTTGAGATACTATTTCAGGTTGAAATATAAGGTTTACGCAAGCTTTTGGAATTACAGACAATTTAAATTGTTTCAATTGTCTACGGTAAAAGATATACGCGCGGGTTGATTTTTAAAATTGTCCAAAGACAATTTATAGGTAAGGATGAAATTTTCTATTCTGAATTAATTTAACTTCGCACTACGTTATTTGAAGGTAGAATAATCTTTTTTTCTTAACTAATTATTCGCTTGACTTTTTTTTATAAAATTACTTTTGTGGAATGACATTCTATGGTAAATTAGTACATTCGATCATGTTAAGATCATGTCTCAATACAGTCCCTTAATTAACCTCGATTACTTTAAGTTGAATTTTCATTACTTCTTTGCAGGAAAATATGTCTTCATATTTTCATATATTTTCTATTTGTTTCAAAGAAGCACGACTTAAGAAATGCGTTATTAGTTTTCAATTAAAACATAGAAAAACGTTGAAAAGTAATATTTTCAGTGTCGGCATATATTAAAAGTGTGCTCCTGAATTTGAATTCGCAGAAATGGCAAAGATCGGTAGACTATTTAGACGAACGTTTAGTTATCTAGAGTTAACACTAAAACTACCGTTCCAGTCAAGATGACTGGTTTCGATTTTTTTTGTTTCGTAATTATTGACATCTTAAAATCATTGAATACTCGAAATGATCTTGAAAATAAATAGTTTCACTTGAGTATTATAACAAGTGCCTGAAGAAACTGAAAATAATCTATTATTACAATTTTTCTAGGGATTGCATATTAATCGTATTAAATGCTCGGTAGTTCTATTGTTAAACAACGTGTCATCTTACTCCGGTATATACAAAAAATAAAAACGATACACGTATTCGTGGAATCTTCCCTAAGAATCAAATCATCTTTTCCGCGTCAGACATCTAAAAATTCGAAGAATCTAATGTCGTACCTTGTATTGAAGTTTTCCAAGTTTCACTTCGCTCTGTTTACTTTCGGCTTCATCCGGTTCCTCCGCGTTGTCAGTCAATTCTTCCATATCCGGCTGGACCTTAACAAATCGAAGTGGATTCCACGAGTGTAGAATGTGCGTCTAACATCTACATAAGATCACGGAACACCGAATGCGTACCTTGTCTTTGTACGTGGTGCCCAACAGCTGCACAGACTTGAGGTCCACCGCTCCCTTCAACCCTTTCTTCCCGTCCTTGGAACGTCTTTTGCGACAGCATCTTCTTATGCAGCAGAAGCAGATTCCGAGTACAACTACGCCTACAACTACTCAAGCGAAAAGAAAAATTCGGTCGAATTAAAATGCTGCGCTCGAACAAGCTCGCCTGAATTGCTTGAATAAATGCGTCCGCTAGGTCAGAGCTGGGCGTTACTCGAATCGTTTTGAATAAACATTTGTCCAGGGTAATCAACCGAATGAACGGCATTAGCGAAATAATTTAACCGGATAATAATTATTCGTTATCCTCAACAAGTTATTCTACATATGTAATCATTGATTTTCCTCGGATAACAAGGTAAATAGTTTTCAACGATTTTCCGCCGATTCGACTTGCGCTTTTTTGATTTAATGCTTCGATATCAAACATTGAAGAATTATTCAAGAGTATATAAAATAATGATAGGGGAATGTAGCTTAATTTAGACTGAATCCTAAATGAGATCATAGCACTTTTTCGCATATAAATTGATTTTGATGATTCTGTAGCGTGAAATTATATAACGATTAATATTTATATACAATAATAGTAATATTATTATATAAATAATAAATTATATAATAATGATTTATAGATTCTCTGCTTCTTAGTAACAGCACTGAAACAAAAAACTGTGCAATAAGTAATAACTTTAGTCTGATACAGTTTCTATTTCGACGCTGGCTAGTGTAATTTTATTTTATTTATAAATGGTTAAAATTAGATTTTAGCTAAATATTATATTAAAAGAAATATTTTGAATTGAAGATAATTATAACGGTCAGTGGAAATGTTTCGAATAACGAGTTATTAATTATTTGACTGTCTTATTCAGTTTGTTATCACTGAATACAGGTTTGTATATTATACTTCTCATTCATCCGCTATTTTGAATAAATTGTTGCCCAACGCTGGCCTAAGCGCGCGTTGCTTTTTTGCATCTAGTAAGCGCGATTCGCAAATGCGGAAACATTCACCCTGAATTCTCTGCACTCTATCGTGTATGAAATGTAAGCGTAGAGTCATGTCGACATGTGAATAAGTGAAATGTTAGAATGTTAACTCGGTACAACTGGAACAGAGTAAGTTATACGGTTATTGTGATCTGCCTGTGAAATTGGAGTAGCCTGGAGTATCTGAACACGTTCTGAAAGAGTAAATTTCAGTAATCGTTGAATGACTGGGAATGATGAGTTCGCGATTAAATCGGTGAGATCGGATACGATGTAAGTCAATCTTTCTTCTAAATTGAAATGTCGGTAAATAATATTATGACAGAAGTACAAACTATTCACATTTCTTTCGAATTATTTCGCATTGTAGTTACATTTTTCTAACTATGCTCTTACAAAATTGGAATTTACATAAAAGTCCGCATACAAATTTTTACATTTCATGTGTACATTAGCTTCTGATGTCTTATAACATCATCAAATTACAATAGACAATAATTTTTTCTAAAAAATATTATAAAAAGCACTGCACTTTGGAGACTTTATATATTCTTTCGCGTTGCGTGCGTTCCGAGCAAGTTTGAACTTTTAAATTTCCCATGAATGCATAAAAGTCTGTTGTCTACTTACGAGTTTCCTTTTGTACTGTTACATTTGTTTTATAATACATTTTTACGTTACTATACATTAATAATATAAATTTAGAGAACGTTTGCAACAATTGTTTTTGGTAAAAATGATTGAATTCAATTTTATTCGTCATTTTATGAGAGAAATTGTCCTTTTGTTTGCTGAGAAATAAAGAAAAAGTGATTTATACAGTTCCCGATCTCAGCAATTCAATTGTTGTAATTTAATTGTGTTCCTCGATCGCACTAAAAGTAACTTGTTTCGTCAATTTGTCAATAATACAATATAATTTCTGTCAATATACACGCACACATTTAAATCCATTTGTATGAAAAATGTTTTCCATTTTTACAGTAAGTGTTCTAAATTTTATGGAAATTCAATTCTATTTACATATTTACACAGAACGATGTTAATTTAATCTTTGATCCAAGAAAACTAAAATTTAAAATATTTCCGTTAAATATTTTACACGAAATTTTCTGGTTTTATGATTCTCGTGTAATGCAAAACAGGATATCATTCATCTTAAAGTATTTATGAAGGAAAGAAACCTTCTAATCGATCTTTTAATTTAATCTACCATAATTATGCGAAAACCAACAAATATTAATTATTAATAATTCTAAAGAAACTATCTAAATAACTGTACCTGTTTATATATGTCATGTTATATATTGTCTAATAAATTTCTGCTTTTTATTTAGAATTTTCCAAAACTTAATAGGCTATTATTGAGGAATTTCACACACACGTTTGAAAACTGTTTCTTTTCATCAAGCACAAATTTTGAGTAATTTAACTGAAAAGAATTGCAAAATTCATTTTTGATTAAGAAAATGAAATACTTTTGCAGCGTATAAGATGCCATAAGGTCATCTTTAACGTCAGCGAACACTCGAGGTTCTCCTAGAAATCAATGTTGAAGCTTCCTCTTAGTTTTTAAAATAAACGACGAAATACTTGCAAGAATTAATGTGTAACAAGTACCACGATTGCTTTAAAGATTGTTTAAACCTGTTTCAAAGTTTAGAATATTATTAAAAACGTTTATCATTGAGCCGGGAAAAATCTGTAACATTATTTTCTGCAAAAACTGTTTGTATTTATTATTTCTATGATAAGCGGACGAGTAATTCTGAAAGTCGATAATTATATTCATTCTTCAGAATCAAATCTCTCAAACTGTATGTGATAGAAAAGAAAAGTAGTTTTCGGATTCGCATTTGCCAGCCTAGAATCAACAAGGATTGTCTATTAGTTTATGCAATATAAAGTGTTGGACAGTGTTATTCAGAATTAGGTTATTAAATTTGTATGGTTGTATTTTACGTCTGAAAAGAATCAGAATACGTAGAGTTTTATAAATCGCGTGGTAACTTGTGAGCTACCCTATAGATTGGTAACATATTTTACGGAAACAGTCGTTTATACCTATTAAGATTGTTACGAGGCCCCATGTTGGTATTCCCATTTCTTCGGCGAGCTCCTTCCCAAGATCTTCCATCTTGGTTTCGAAGGATTTCCCTGTAGGTTCGGTGACCACTTCGCTGTCGGTCACTCCTAAATATAAGGAAAGTAAGGATTAACTAAAGAATAACATGAAAATTATATTAGCAATAAGAATAATATAGTCATCATAATAATATGCTATTATAAAATGGTAAGTTCAGATTTCTTTCATATTTATTGAAGAGATCCAAATGTATCACTGTTTATGAATTTCTTATTATCAGTGATCAGTAAATCGGTTTGTTTATGAATTTCTTATTATTAAACTGATTTACTAACATTTTTAAATATAAAGTCAATCGAAATTTCAATAAATACTCTTTTGTTCATTTATTATATAATACAATACAATAAGAATAACAATCTATTGGAACTTAGCAAAAGAATTTTAAATGTATTTTACCTTCATCTACTTCGAAGTCTACACTCAACGATTTTACAGTCGATCCGACCGTTTCCATCTGAATGGTCTCCGTCATCTTTTCCGCTTGTCTCTTGATGATAGGCATTTTCTGGAATCAATATTACACATGGTTATACATTATCATTTGTATAATCTCAACTAAACTGTATATTATTATATTATACGTTTTGAGTGTGTATTCATGAAAATATCATACCATAAAAAGTAATCAAATTATGTTTATACGTAGATATCCTCTTTGATCAATATTTGTATATAGGTATATCTGGAATGTATTTTGGTGTTTCTTGTAACTATAAATATTCGAGAAATAATTGTAGAAATTTGTAGGAAGGATATACATGCAATCGTTCGATGTTCGATTAGATAAACTATGCTATCTTAATATTGGAGTCACTTTAACATTGCTTTATACCACTGTATATTTTTTAGTATATATTATAATATAATCTGATTACACGTGATTGATTTGTGATTTAAACGTAACAGCTGATTTGATTACGAGTTGTCTGTTTTAATCATCGATTGTAACTAATTTACAATTAAAATGAAGGTAATTGTAGTGGATACTAATTAATATTTACAGGTCGTAATCTTCAATCGAATCAAAATTTTAATCATTAGTCTTGATTAATTAGATTGTATTTTATAAAACTGTAATAATTTTAAGTGGAGACTTTAACGTGGTCATTAGAAAATTCTTTTTCCATTATATTTTCAGATGCAGCTTTAATTGATAGAAACAAATAATTGCAATGTAGTTATAAAAATAATTGAATTATATTTCTGCCTTCATAGCATCCGAAGTTCTTTAAAAAATAATAAAAAAGTGATTTAAAGAACGTTCAATTGTTTTTTATATCTTTTAAGTTATTTAAATTATTGTAAAGAAATACAAATGAGTTGTCACAAGGATATTATTTTATGTAGTAATTATATACTTTATAAAATTACAATTTTATTGGTTTACAAGTTTTATATTTTTAGATGAATATTTTTCGATATATGAAATATAAAGTACAATACAACTCTCATTAATAAATGCATGTGTACTCGTCTGTTAGTTTATATGACGAAAAGAATTCTGTGACTGACATTGGCCTTTCACTACCTTGTCAATGTCGATTATCGTATATCCGCGGTTATAACATGCTATACACGGAACTTATACATGGTGCATGCATTTTACGCATTTATAGCATATATTCTTGATCAACGAGTAGTAAAATAACAAAATTAATGAAATTTAATAATACTTGTATTCTATATATAATCTAATAGAAGTATGAGCACGGTTAACTTCGAATTAACTTCGAGTATTGTAAATTAATTTTTAAAAATATACGTATGTTCATGAAGCAACATTAATACTGTAGTTACTATTTAACTTAGTTTGTACTGACTTTTAAGGCGTTTTACCTTCTTTTTCACTCATAAATGAATATGTGAATTGTAGGAATTAATGTTTTTCGAAATTTCAAATTAAACGTTCAGTCAATTATTAATTTTGCAAAATCTATACAAGGTTGATAAAAAATGACTTATACAGTTTCTAACCTTACCAATTTCATTATAGTTCAGTACTAAATAGTTATAACACGCATATAAAAATTATTTCTGATGCTTCTGTTGATCACCACAGCGCCACGGTAATAAAAAGTATCACAAAAGTATTACATCATAAGTTATTTTATCAAAGTGCCATTTTACAAATTTACGTAAAACAACCGGCAGGTTATGTCACCAGAAATTTCATTTTTATTGTTCTCGAAGATTCGAATTATTACTTTGTGCAATAAAAAAGGGATACGAAAGACGACGTTCCAATGAACACTGAGGCATTTCACAATCAGGAGCATGTTTCCGGATTCACAGATTACGTCCGCATGCGTATAGTAACGAACTGATAAGAACAGTTATTCACAGACCCTAGATTTTATATATTATACTTGTAGCATTCGTAAAAGTGTAAAACACAAAGAAAGTAAACAATTTTAGTGAAATTTAAAATGACTCCTAACATCAATCGTTCGGTAAACTATAATCACCAAAATAAAAAAGGTTTATGTTTAACTACAGTTTATCTAAATAAATTCACAAGCAATGTACTTGTATACAAATTTCTAATTTACTTATTTATATAACATCATATTTTAGTAAAAAATCGGAGAGTACAGTATTAAGCTGACCAGACAGTTCTCGTGTTTACCATTATCCATAGTGTTTTACATAGACATCCAGTATCAGATAAAATTTAAGAAAATTTCTGATTAACATTCTTAGGTTTTTTTCATATTTTGAGAGAAAAATCTTCAAAATTAACGAGAAAATGAAAATGAGTGCTGGGCAATGTGAAGAGAAAATGACTGTAGGGTAGGTTGATTGCATCCGTTAAGAATTGTAATTTCAGAATCTTTAATAAAAGACGTTCGGAAAAAAGAAGTTGATTAATAAAGAAATGAACGAAAACAGAAAAAAGAAAAGCTGGGAAGGCAATAAGAAAACATGAAAACATCAAAAGAGGAAGGACGTTAGGAGAAGAAATAAGTAAAAAGGGAAGAATACATCATCAAGGAGAAAATTGGACTTTAATCAAGAAATTACCGAGTGGATCATTTGCAACGAGTCATTTACTGAAAATTGGGTGCAATATGAAGGTACTTATTTATACATGTATTTGCAATCAAGATAATGCTAATTATTTTCCTTATGACATTTGTATAAATATAAATATAAATATCAAAAGCATCCTTTATATTTATGCACATTCTTCCTTATGATAAAATTTAAAAAAAATGATTTGTATTGTGTTAGTAAGCCTTATTTTTACTAAAAACTTTTTGTATGTTTTACGAATGGTGAGGACTATGAGAATTGTGTAGTTATGTGTAACGAATGCTCAAAATTATATATTCATACTAAAAATGCATACACCCTAATGCATATAGTGAATTAAAAGGAATATCTTTGTTGAAATTTGACATTGGCCTATATTAAAATATGATAATATAATGACAAGGCATAACTATTTATCAGCTAGCAAAATAATCGTTTACGCCCTGCTAACGTCGAATTGACGTCAGGCATGCGTCACCCACACAACACAGGAATTCTGTGCATTTGATAAATCTACGGACATTATTCAAATCAAAAGATGTACGGTTTAAATCATTTATCATTTATTTCAGTATATATCGTACGATGGTATATTTTCAGCTATCTAAACAAATTATTTTTAAAATAAATGAACTACTAAACAGCATAATAGTAACACCATATTTAATAGAAATTACAATTCGATATGTACTATTACGATATGTACTTAATAACCTCCATGGAACTTCATTTGTATAATCAAATCATTTAAAATGTGTCCCATTTTTGTGATATGTTATAGACAGATTTATTTTTCTGGAAAACTGTCAAACATTTGTGGAACTAAGAACATTGCGTAAAAATGCAGCAAATAGACACTTGGCAAGGTTATGTTTCTAGGACAACACAATCAATAAATTCTAGCACGGAATGTTTTTGGAAGTTTGTATACTTTCTTACTCAAAACGATCTAACACAAATTTTTCTAAAAATATTTACTACGATTAATAATCTGATTAAAACTGGATAAAGCCAGCGAATTAAGTTAGTAATTGAAGAAGGAAAAATAACATAAGTAAAATGTACTATTATTGTACGTACATATGTTCGAATATAATTAAGTAATTTAAAAAATATAGATGTTTTAGTATAAAAACCTATATTTTATGAATACTTAGGTCTTTTGTATGTCTATTATATTTAACTCTGTTCATGGGTTACAAAAACATTTTCTCCTAACTATATGTAGACAATCCATATTTTAACTATAATTTCAGTGTATGTGTATTTATACATTTTCTAGTCAAGAAAAAACCAATCATAATGAATGAAATTATTATGGAGGTACGATCTTGTTTACCAGAACATCCCACAAGAAACAACAGTCTAAAATACACCTGATTGCATAAAGTCAATAACGAGGTTGACACTGTAGAAAATGAGAAAGTGTATATACGTGGGCGTCGCAGCGACTTAACGCATATTCTTCGATAACAACTTGAATTATACACCAAGGGAAAGGTTTGCCGTATGATTAAATTTCACAGAAATTAGTTGAACTATTGAACCGAAAATTTCAGCGATAAGAATAAATTGATGGCTACTTCCTTGTAATAAATACGATCCTTTATTGACTGGATATTTGCAGAATTTGATTTGCACCGTGTTTAATGTAAATCGTTTCTCTATTTAAGTAAATACAAATAAATTTGATTTAAATCATTTAAAATCACAAATAATCCAGTGTCGGCTTCTCACATCGTTACTAGGCAGTTGAAAATCGTTAATCCTTTTCATTAAGAGCTATTGAATTTTTTTAATTTTAAATGCAAATTTAAATTAATCTTTTTAAGGAAAATGAAAGGTTAAATTGAAAGAAGCAAACACCTTTGACATTTATTATTTTTCGGGTTAATTACTGTTTAAGCGGTGTTAAAATTATGATAAATGCTCGAGCGGTTTATAGAGAAGAAAGACTATATTTGCGGTGAAAAATCTCGAATGCGGCATTCAATTTTTACTTAAAATTAAAAATCAGAAATCATGGTCACACATGTACATTTATACATGGACAGAAAAGAAGTATTCGATAATATAATATTTAAAAAAGACACAATGATGTCTTAAAAAAAATTTATGTTAAAAAACGAGTATTATCTAAATCAACATTATATACAAAATATTCCTGAGAAAATAGATCTTGCACAATATATAACATTTTATTAAGGTTGACGTATTTTCTTTACTACAAGCACGTTGCTACTTTTAATGGTGACAGTCTGTGTACCCTTTAGTTACTACCCTGTTACAAATGCTTGGGTGTGAAAGAGTATCATGTTTCCAGAGCTTCACGTGTCGCTTAATCCTTCAGAGATCGACAAACCACTTAAACGTAATAGTAGCTTTCGACTACGAACGCGGCACGCGTCTAATTGTAACGTTCTAAAGCAATTGCATTGATTTTTTAATAATCGTACCTTTACCATAGTGAATTGCCCATAGTGGATTCTTGTAATACCTTTTCTTTGAGTAATCGTAACAGGTGTTTTCACTTCGAAGAGTATATCTATTAGTTAGTATGACAAAAATGTTATTCCCTTTTTATCGTAGTTATTTATTTAGTTAATTTTGCTTCGACGAAGATGTTGACCGAGGTTTTCTATATTTCTATATTTCTATACAGTATCTTCCGATACTGACCAATGGCCATTCATGGCAAAAAATACTTCTCGTTTCTTCGGAGCTATGACCGGAATGTGAAAACGATTGGTGAGTCACATGCTTTTTTTACTCTGATTACCGTTTGTATTATAGAGCAAGATGTTGTTATTTATTATACAATATTACTAACAGAGAGATAATCTCGTGGAAAGAACTTTATATAATACTAACTCCTTGCTTTATAATAACTGTGTTAGACTCACAGTGAAGATTTTAAACAGAATTTAACAAGCATAAATATTACTCGATTCTTTTAAATACCAATTAAATATTTTTCTTCTTCTTTCTTCAGAATTTTTCCCTCCTTTTCAATAAATGATTAACGTCAAAATAATTGTATCGATCGTGATTGAGAAATCAATAAAAGTGCCAAGATTAAATTTATTTGTAAATACAAATGGATCCCTCGTGGCAACCTCCTCATGGTGAACCTGGAAACCAGCATTATCGCCGATAGAGTAGTTCCTATCAAGAATCGTGCTGGATCAATCGGTTATGAAATTGTATGATCCACGTATAAATATGCCGAGTAATTATTCTTTAGTTTAATTCACACATTATGCCTGTTTCTCCATTTACCCCGGTTCACTCAGCCTTGTATGCAAATGAATCGGGCCGTATGTCAGATCACGCAGTTCTAGCCTCTTCGTAAATCGATGTGACCAACTCGAAAGATTACGATGGGCACACTGGGGGGCGGTAGTGTTCGCACCACCACAGTCTGCGACGGGAGACTTTTCTAGGGTCCTACTTCTTCGTAAAATGTCCGCGCTCCTCTCTGAGGGCAGGGCATAGGGAAGTTAACGGGTTCCTGGCACTGGCAATAGGTCATTCTCTGATTCGTAGATGAGGGAACATCGTAACTTCGCACTGTATTCTGACTAGTTTGAGCGAGGTTTGCTTCGCATCACCCTCATTTTGCCCTTTTCAATCAGAGATTTCTTCTTTGATTTCTCTCATTGTCGAATCAAGAAAGAACTTCTTTCTTGATTCGCCCCCTTCGCTTCTTGGCCCAATAATTGCTCAGTATATTGTATCCTCCGTTTTGCTCTTGTTGAATCAGAGACTTCTTCTCTGATTCGTCTTATACTCGAATCAAGGACTTCTTCTTTAATTCACCCCTTTTCTACTGCGATGATTGTATAGTTTAAGTTATTCGTTAAGTAAACTAAGTTAGAATTAAACATGCGAAAGAAGACATAGATCGTCCGCCGTGGGAAACTTTATTTCAGGCTCAAGAAAGAAAATAGCCGCCGTGGGAGTATTATTAAGTGCGATAGTAATAAGTGCGTTAAACATAAGACTTAGAATTAGAAAGGGTGGTCGGTGGACTTCAATTTCCATCCACCTCCCGGGATCTCCACTCGCAGCAACCTTCACGTGATGAGACCTGGGCAACTGGCATTATCCCGAGTAGAATATTTCCTGTGAGGGATTATGTTAGGCTAATTGGCTGCGATTATTTTGCAATTCAAATGTGAAATATAGAATCATCTGCAGGTAAATGTATTAGACACTATTCGCGTTTTTCGTAGATGATGGAGAGAGTTATTTAACTTCTGTACTGTTTAGTGTGTTTACTATTATGGCGTATAATTAAAATAAACGGAAAATCGTGAACTTTTCTAGTTCGAAAGCAAGGAAAATTGTTAGATGATATTTATTCACGTTACGAAGTATGTACTTTACAGATTAGTGACTGAATATTTCATGAAAAATAATTTTCAACATTTCTATGGAACAGCAGTTCTGGTTTTTCCAAATATACAGTGCGTTATTGACACGATCACCTTACTCCTCTTCACTTTTGAGCCACAGGCCGGCTGGGATCATGCCAGTAACGCGCTGTAGAAATAAATTGTTCGAAAAACGGTAAGAACTTTCCCGATTATGGTATGCAAGTAAATTATGCATATTTTCAGTATTCATATTGCGTTGTACTTTGAAATTTTGAATTATGTTTAGTATTTTAATAAATGTCTATAAGATATTACGAGTAAATAGAGAAATGTAATATCGAGACAAAAAATCAAAAAGAACACGTTTCTTATTTATATGTCGATATTAACTTGAATTCTGTTGGTAGCGTTGTAAGTGACACGGGAAGTGTAAGGGGTTCATGTAAACCCCCAGCCGTGGGACAAAAATTTACATTACATAACCAGGTATGTACATCCATATATCCTATATCTCGGCGGTGTCACAAAATATAACTGCTGCTACCAATTATCGGTAAAACAGTCACTTTTTTATTTTCAGTTTAAAATGTCAGAGTTAATTTTAGCCAACGGTTGTCTTCAAGGCGGTAAATGTAATTTACATTATAACCTACGCCAGCTGTAAAGGTGTTGAAATAAAGTCAACTATTTAAATTGATGTGCTTAGTCCGCACTACCTCTAAGGAATCGCTGAACCGTAACACGAGTTGCGTAGAAGGAATCAATCGAAATAGGCCGGATGTCAAACAGAAAAAAGAACATTGAGGACAAACTAGAGGTAGAATCGTCCGAAAAGGACCGAGGGTGCCGTAGGCATCATATAGGAGACAATCGTGGATGTTTCAAGCGGAAGAAGTGGTGCGTGAAGATGACAACACTTAGGGCTCGGGACTGGCCATCGTAACACACGCTGATTTGGAACCGTGTCCAATTCCGCAGACCAGAGAAAAAGAATTGGTCAGCTGAAATGGGAGCAACTGCGATTTATTCAGTTGCACTATAGGGTAATTCCGGATGAAATAGCCCGATCTCATTTAAATTGTCAAATGTCTGTTTTCAATTGTTTTTAGTGATGTACTGAATCTTGCACAGAGACTATTTTAACAGTAGGTATACGGAACGCGTCAATTTTACGCATATTCAATTTTATAAAAATTATTTGGCAAATGATTAACTCGATTTTAATTGAATCAATTGCACGAGTATATATCTTAATTGTTTATCTTTCAATCTCCGATTTTCGAGTTCTGAATAAACGAATATCAA